TATTAAACCAGCCAGTACTAATACTTGCTTTACTAACCAAAATATACTCATATATTGTTTACTAACATAGATACTAATGCATTTACTTTATTATACAAATGTGCCATATACTAACAAAAGATTTGACATTAACACATCATTTATCATCAAAATGCTAACATGTTTACTAACCAGAATATATTATTTACTAACATGTATACTAATAGATTTACTAAATTAAACATGCTATATACTAATATAAAATTACTAATATATTTATTAAATCAGCGGATACTAAGATTGTTTACTAACCAAAACATAATTATTTACTAACATTGATACAAATTCATTCACTAACTTATGTAAACATGTCATATACTAACAGAATATATTGACACTAACATTATTTACTAATATGAAATTACTAACACATTTACTAAACTATCAATTACTTATATATTGTTTACTAGTTATTTATTAATACATATACTATGTACAGACAAGTCCTATACTAAAAGATTTGAGACTGTCATTTACTAATGTAACAATACTAACACATTTACTAAACCAAAAGCAACTAACATGTTTACTAACCATAGTATATTGTTTACTAACAGATACTAATGAATTTACTAAATTAGACATGTCATATACTAACCAAAATATATCAGCACTAACAGGCCATTTAATGTGAAAATACTTACTAAACTAGCAAATACTAACTAGTTATTTACTGACCAAAATGTTAACATATTTACTAACAAAGATACTAATACATTTACTAAATATACTAACCAAAATATACTCACATTAATATATCATTTACTAATATGAAAATACTACCACATTTACTAAATCAAGTACTAATATGTTTACTAACCAGATTATGTTTACTAACATAGATACTAATGTTTACTAAATTAAATATTCTGTGTGTTTTTGCAGCAAACAGACATTTTGAATCGATTAATTTTACTGATCAACTTTTCCAAATTATGAATAATCTTTCTCAGATAGGGAGGAAATCCCACCAGAAATTGTCCAAAGTTCATTTTGGAAATTAAAAATACATACTATTTACTAATACTTTTTTTTACTAACCTGAAAATACTAACTGATCTACTAAACTGAATGTACTAAAATATTGTTTACTAAACTAGATATTTAAATATACTAAAAAGACCTTTACTAATACCTTTATTAGTGTGGATATACTAATACATTTACTAAACAGTAGATACTAGCAATTTAATGATGTAAATATACTGTTGATTACATTCCATTTACTAAACTGAATATACTAAAATATTGTTTACTAACCTGAAAACTAATATTTACTAAACCCAGGGTTTAAAAATCTTGTTTACTAATATACAAGTATGCTCTTTACTAACCTGAATATATCAACAGTAAGATGTCCTTTAGTAACTAGAAGTCAGTGATATTATTACTAAATAGTGTTTATAAAACCTATCTTTTATTTTATTTATATATTATTATGATTTAACTGCTTCCAGGGTTCTTCACTTTTCAAGAAACCTGTTTGAACATTTATTCGGAGACATATTTATAAGATTGTATTAGATAAATAACATCACAGTTTACTGACTAGCACACATTCCCCTGCAGATCTTCAGGTCTGTAAATGTCAGGATGTTCTGGAAGTACCAAGAATATCCTAGCATTTACAAGGTTTTACTTAACATTGGTTATTTTTATTTTTTTACACCTTATAATTCTGTAGCTAATTAAGATTTATATGGACACATACATGTGGGTGCATTGGTATATATAGTTATTAGCTGAATTTTCATTTGAAACTTTCATTACATAATGTTCAATATAAGTGCATTGCCAAGAAAGAATATGTTAAAAATATTTGTAAAATAATTTCTACGCCAACTTCAGGAGTCCATCACCTCATACACACACACAAAAGATACACATATGCATATATCATGATTTGGTTGTCGGACAAAGCCACATCTGACTGAATTTGGTGGGTTAACTTGGTTTACAAGTAAGAGGATACAAAATTTAATAACACAAGGCTTGTAGAATATAAATATTTGATCAACAAAGTGGATATTAAATGGGGGATCAGTTTTGTTTTACCACCAAGTTATAAACAGATCCCCCATTTTTGTCATATTTTGATTCCATGTAGCTTTTTACTCCAAAAGAAAATTATTGTAGTGTTGCAAGATTCAACTACTTTTGAAAGCTCTATTAAATCTTGAATTTTGCTAGTTGTGATATTTTTGTAAGTTTTTGAAAAATAAATTAGACTAATTTGTATTACAAGTGAATTTGAAATTTAGTTGTACTGGTATTGTAAATGTAATGCAATTCAATACCCCTATTGGTTAGAGTGCTTAAGGTTTGAAAGTGCTATATTTGATCCAATATCACAGTATTTGTATGCTTAACTGTCTTTTCTACTTTGTTTAATTATTCATTTGTTAATCAAAGATTAGTGGCCATTGTATGTGTCTGCGCCTGTGTGTGTGTATTTTGGGGATGTATTATTCAACATCTTTTTCTGGTTCTTCTTGTCTTTCCTTTCTTTCTTTTTTTTTTTTTTTCCCTAATTAAACTTTATTCTTCACATAAAATATATGTATTTGCATGATTTAAATTTTTCTTCAATGCCATCATCTTTTTCCTTCTATTTTTGATTCTCAGATTTAACCTAAGCAAGCTAACCAAATTTTCTGCAAGTACCCAATCAATTCAAAGGCTAATTTTTAACTGGGAGGTGATAGGGGGTGTCTAGATAACAATGGTGACAGCCATATCAAGTTGAAACACCAGTACTTGTTCGATTACTAATGCTTAAGCAATGCTGAGCCTGGTCAGCACTCAGATGAGTGACTGCTGGGAAAAAGCAATTGACAGCTGGCGATAGATACAATATCATTACTTATACTAACAGAAGATATGTAGAAATGCTTCTGGACTGAAAGGTTGCAAAAATTCATGCCAAATTTCTTCAAAGCATCATCGGTTATTATTATTATTATGAATTTTTTAACAGTATATTTTTTCAATTTCTTGCATTATTTACATTAATCCTCATCTTCATTGCCATATTCACAACGTTTCAGCTATTGTAGACCCCAGCCTTCTTCAGGTGACTGGAATTTAAGACTGTCAGTTTCAGTTTGACTCAACTCTCTAAGTTTTGGTTCACCACTGCTGTAGCCTGGTACTGAACTCACAACTCTTTGGGTCTAGTCACTGGTTCTAATCAACCTCTTTATCTACTGGTCCATGCCTCCTTGAAGAGATATAGACATATTTTTTCAAGTATTTTATTTTGCTTCTTTTTTTTTTTTTTTTCACAATTCCAAGATCATTAATCAACAATAGAGATCAAAAATAAAGAATAAGTTCATTTTGAGATTTGAACCCTCATCCTTTGTTTGGAAGCCAGACTTTCCTTAATTATATTTGGTAGTAATTACATATTTGTCTGTGCTTATTGCCATACTGGGTGTTGTAAGCGTGGGTGTGCAGGAGGTGTTAATGAGAAATCAGAGAGCAGTGTTCAAATTCCAGTTAAGTTTATTGCATTCACTTATGCATAAATACCCTTGGGAAAAGTATGAATCCATCCCTTCTCCCTACCTCAGCTATGGGTTAAACAGCAAGGCAGACTGGGCCTTGGTTGGCAACCAGTCTACTGCAGAAAGTAATGGCAGCTTACTGCAGGAATTCTTCTGCCAAGTAAATAATGAATTGAAAAGAGACATGATTGCGCAAGCATATCATATTTGCCTCTACCAACACACATTAAGGCAGCATAGTATGGTAATGGGCAATACCTACCCATGAAGGGCAAAGATGGCAAAATCTGGGGAAGGCCTACATTCAACAAAAGACCTTCCCAGGCTAGGAAGAAGATATTCACCTATCTCTCTGGATAATAACAAATAAAAGTGCTGGCCTTTGTAATATAACTCCTATGGAAATGCATAAAGCACAGATATTATGAAAAAGTTTATACTGGCCACTGTCAACCTTGATAATAGGTGCAACGACTTACCCAGGTGATAGTAGTGGGAGAGTGGTTTTCCAAGTTTTCACTCATCTATATATTCTATTAAATAATAGTTTCAGACTATTATTTTTAGTGGCAGTGTATTTTGGCTCAGACCTTCTGAGGCTGACCTCTAAGGTCATATGGTAGGCAAAACAAAGGAAGTCATTTTTGATTGGTTAAAACTAGTGTGGGAATGTTAGAGAGATAGAAAAATATTTCAGGGAGTTAAGTTTTGCATGTCATACACTGTACACATGGTTATTTCATGTCTTGAGGAACTTGCTCCCATAATTAACCAGTGGGAGCAACCCCACTGGTTAATTAGAAATGTACATGTTGACATGTTTAATATAACAGATAAGTTTAAAATCCCTTTTGTTGGTATTTTTTTTTATCTCTGAACAAAATAACTGGCAATCAATGGCCGAGAAAGAAGCAACATTTTAATTAAATCAAGCCTGTCACCCCAAGACCAACCCCCACCAGAGGGTGATACAACAATTCCAGAAGAAATTTTTTTGTTTTTTTTTTTAATCAAGATATCTAGTGACAAGACAGCACAATAATATGGATTCCTATTTTCCCAAAGGACTTAGTTCTAAAATGAAATTATAGTAGGCATCTGTCAGTCAATATTGACTATGAATGATGTGCCTTGGTGTCAAGTTGTGTCAATGCTCTGGAACAGTGTTGACTGGAGTGACCTCTCCAGGGTGCAAGCCAGGGTGGGATGGTATGGAAGACCAGCAGTTGCCATGGAACAGGTCCACACTCTCCACACTGTTGGTGGGACCAAAGGAATAGCATCCAACGATAAATTATCTAAAAACTAGGGAAGCTTCCCTCGCCATGTACATCCTCTGTTCTACTGAAAGTAGTAGAACCAGGAGAATTTGTGTGTAAGTGAATATAATGAAGTAATGGAACTCAGCTCTCTGATTAATAATTCCAAGCCATTATCTACCTGCACATCCAGACCTGCTATTCTCAAGTGGTCACCTATCTAGGTACAAACCAGGCTCGACGTTGCTTAGCTTCGGTGATCATATGAGGACTGGTGTTTAAACATGGTAGGGCTTTAAGTTAAATAATGGCAAGTATACAAAGTTTGCTTATGCTAAATTTGACCTATTCTTTAACTTTGACCTATTCTCTAACGTTCTCTCTTGTTTCTGATTTAAGGTGAGTTTTCCAAGTTTAATATTTATGGTTGTTGCTCTGTTTTATTCTATTTTTGCTTTTCTTTATTTTTTTTTTAACCTTGTTTCAAATTGCACTTCTCTCTTGAAACAAAATATCTTTTTATGAATTGATTTTCATTTACATATGTTTATTTTTTCTTTCTCTCCTGTGATCTGCTTCTTGCTTGATGTTCCTCACCCTAACCATTCTTCGATTATTTCGTATGTTTCCTGGCTGTTGTATCTGCTTCTGGTGCCACTTTCTTTTTTTTGTTATTGTTTTTACGATCTCTTTTCACATAATTTGTGTTTTGTCCATTTGTTAATATAAAAAGGATTAAAATAAAAGTATGTATGTATGTATGTATGTATGTATATATGTTTATAAGAATGATGATAGAAAAAAAAATCTTAGTTTTTTGCCGACGTGTTTCATCTTCCAACTTTATCAAGGCAAAATTGAAGTGAAATGTTTTTGTTTTTATAGTTACATTAAACCCAAAATGTAAAAAGAGAGAGATGCTTTTATGTAAGCCTCTTTCTGGCTAATGTTAACTTTCTTTATACTAAGTTTTTTTTTCATGTCGGCAACATAGTAAAATTCCCAGAACAATTCTTAGTATAAAGGAAGTTAACAGTGTCTATAGAAAAAGGTCTTTTAATATACTATTTTTTTTGTTTTTTGCCTGGTCTTAAGTTAAACTCTGCCAAATATTTTCACTTCAATGTATATTCTCTACAGATAAAGCATCTATAGGGTAGGTGTGTTTATATAAAATGCACGAAGGCTTATCGTTTATGACTGTCAAATCTGGTTAATTCTGAATAACTACTGATATGAATAAATATACTAATTTATGAATAAATATACTAATATCAACAAATCCCTTATGATTTTTGCTTATTAACTATTGGACACCTAAAAGCTTTTTTTTTCTTTTCTTTATAATTACTTGTATCTTTTAAATTTATATTTTATTTATTATTTTAAAATTGTCTCTTTGATTTAACTGCTGTAGGATTGTTGATGTGAACAGGGTAATTAATTTAAAAAAGTATTTTCTTTTTCTCTTCTTTTTTGCTCTTTGTTTACTAATTATTAAATGCAAAAATTTACACAGCACTTATTTCAATTAACCACATTACTTAAAACGATTACTTCACTACTTAAGTAAATGTAAGGCGATTATACTTGACCCTTTCCCATGGAACCAGGTCAGTTTAACATGTGAGACCCGAGTGAGTACACTCGGGCTAAGGACAAAAATTCCCCCAGTCCTGACCACCGTCAGTTGTGGTGGCCTCTATGCAAGTACCAATCCTTCTCTCTAGTGCAATGAGAAGGTGCAGCCTCAGGCATTTGTTCCCCAGGGCTGATTTTCCTCAGTTGCACTGCTCTCCTCTGATAGAGCTGCAACTGAGTTGCACTCTGCCAGAGATGCAAATGAGAGATGATAAAAACCTACCCAGCATATACCAGAAAGACCTGTTTTAGTTGACAATAAGTGACAGAAGGCTATAAAAAGCACTGTTGATTATTTACAGCTAATTTGTTTAAATGATGCACTGACTATTGTTTGTGTCATGTGGCAATAATTGTAAGTAACCAAGTTTTAAGGTCTCTGAATATTGAGTCATGGAATCAGCAATCTGAGTTCATATTCTGGCCTAGACTATTGGTTTCATTTTCACATAGATGAGAAAGATATGAATCCATCTCTTCTCCTCCCAGCTATGGGTTAAATATTATGGCAACTGATTTGAGACATGAAATATAAAGAAGGTAGAAGAAAAACATAGTTTTACCTGCCTTTTTTGCTTTTCAATTATCATAAAAGATGAAAAACTAGGTGATAGAAAAAGATGAAAAACATAAAATAACAGATGAAAAAAGATAACTAAGAAAAAAGTAAAAAAACAAATGTAAAGATTAAAAAAGATAAACAAATGAAATGATTTACGCAGCACTTATTTTGATTAACTGCATTACTTAAAACGATTACTTCACTACTTAATAATTGTAACAGCTTATTTGGAAAATGTGACAGAAGACTATAAGAAGGCATTGCTGATTATTTACAGCTAATTTATTTAAATGATGCACTATTTTTTGCTTCACATGGCAATAATTGTAAGTATTGAGGCTCTAAAGTAAGTAACCATGTAATCATTTTAAGTTCTCTGAATATTGGTACCATTATTAAATAGCAAAGGCTAGCAATTGTAGTTAGGCTGGAATTTACTAATAATTCTCAAGGATCAGCTTTGCCATTCTCTTTGAGTCTTGTAAAATTTTGTGAGCAAATGAGGCTGTAAAAAATAGCATCACATCATCAAAATTTGATTCTCCAGAAAATGGTAAATTAATTTGATCATTTAATCCTGGTGAAGATAATACAACTTTATATTGTTCCCCCCCCCCCAAGTGATTCACTCCAAGCAAGACGGGAGTGCCACTAGTACACAAGGGACTACAGAAAATGTAAGTAAGGGAAAAGACTGGATATAGGGGGTGGCGAGGAAAGGATAAAAATAAAAATGGAAGAGGATAAAAAGAACAGAAATCACGGCCACAGAAGATGTCGATTAACATTACATTTAAATTTTTGAAGATTATAGTCATCATGGAAACAAGTAAGAGGCAAGAAATTCTACTGTTAGGAAGTGTGTCGACAGTAAAAGGGTGGGACTGAGATGCCAACCTAATAGCACGCTTAAATTCATGCAGTCGGGGTACCAGTGAAAATAGAGCAGATGCTATGAAAATATTTATAGAAAAGACAGAAGGAAGCCACATTATGTTGGTGAGAAAGTGACTGGAGTCAAGACCCCAATCAGGACCAATCACTGTCTATATTTCTGAGATGAGGTATTGTAACTATTTACACTATTTGGACTATTGTCCTCATCTTTACTGTCATATTCATGATGTTTCAGCTTCTTCAGATGATATATGTTGAAATTTCGAACCAAACCCATTATTTTGTTCACTGGAATAGATTGTTCTAGTTCCACGTGCCATGATTTTTCTGGATATCTCGGTTGCAGTTATTCTCTCCAAGATTTTGTTTACCTCTGCCATGGCCAGGTATTGAATTCACAACCCAAGGATCAGTGGATAATTGTTGGTTGAAGCAATCCACTAATTTGACCTAAAGATTCAATTGCCAAATGTTTTAAGAATATGTCTTAAATCTGTTCAATAAATGATTCTCTTAAAGTAATGATTACTATAGTCGCTTATTTCACAATATTGTAATAACATCCATCAAGAACCATGTCTAATTTGACCCAACTAAAGCAGCTTCTTTTCACAAACTGCTGCTTCATAGAACCATCTCCCATGAGGATGCTTTCCCAATCTATACAATCTCAGCCTGTTCAAGTCTAGGGTTAACTGTTATTTTCCCCTCCTATCCACATAAACTGTACCTCTTACTTTGTGACCCTCTACCTTGAGTGGCTCTTTGCATAGGGTGTTACATTATTGTAAAAAAAAAAGTCTGTTGATTGTTTATCATTCTTTTAATCTGGGATTAAGTCTAATCTGCTTAGTTTTATCTATCATTACAGCCTAGGTTCCACTTTTTAAATCCATCTTTTTTTAATCGGATTAATTGTTAAGAGACGATTTTAATATTTACACTATCCTCAATGTCACTTTCTTTAAAATTGTCAATTTCTCTGTTGTAGAAAGCAGACAAGGTTATTTAGTATTTGTTGGAACTTTTGATGCAGTTGTTCAGTAGAAAAGAAAAAAAAAATTGTCAGTTTACTTTGCACCTGAAAGAAAATGTTCTGAGTATCACATAGGTTAAAATTTTTATTTCTCAAAACGAAATTAGCTGAATAAAAATGCACGAATTTCACCTTCATAATGAGAAACAAACGAATAAATAAATAAAAAAAAAATTTACAAGGTGCATTCCGGAAATTTTGAGATTTTTTTTTTTTTAGGTAAGATGTTTATTAATTCCAAAGTACGAAACTTGAATCTCCTTCAAAGTAGAATCCTCGCATTTCAATGCACTTGTTGTACTGCTCCAACACACCTTATGATGGTCTTGTGGAAGTCATCCAAAGTGAAGGTGCCCAGGACCCTTGTTACAGCCTTCTTCATCTTCTCAATGTCTTCAAAATGACTTCCGTGTGGTTTTCTTTCAGAAACAACCAAAAAGTCACAAGGGCAAGGTTTGAACTATAAGGATGGTGTGGGACAGTTTCAATACATAACACAAAATTTGTGCAGATTCTTAAAGTTTTTCTTCACAAATGCTACAACTTTTAGGAAGGCATTCCAGAAATTTTGAGACTTTTTCAAAAGTACAAAATTCTAATCTTTCAAAGTAGGATAATCTGACTTTGAATGCACTTGTTGTAACGCATCAAAGTTAAGCAATGTCAAGCCTGGTCAGTACCTAGATGAGTGGCTGCTTCAGAATGCCAGGTGCTATGGATGTGCAGGTGGTGTAATGGATAATGGCTTGGAATTTTTAATTGGAGAGTTCCAATTTTTGTTTGGTTTGTTATATAGTGCAATTATACGCCATTTGTCCTTTTGTCATACCTGAAGATATATATATATATTAGTGGCAATAAAGTCACTATACAGTAACTTACAATAACAATTAAGACAAAACAATTAATCAACAGTCCAGAAATTTATTATTAAAATAATTCTGGTTAATAACAATAAAATGCTATGGTATACAATAGTAAATTAATTACCAATACTGTTCGAATCGCAAGCCACCTGCTTCAATGCTTTGCTTTTTTTATTATAAGTAACTGTATAATGACTTTATTGCCACTCTATATCTCTCTCTATATATATATATAAAACAATTTAGAAAACTTATTTCGACATGTTTCACTGACTGATTGGCATTGTCAAAAAAATGTATTTTATTTCAGCCAAACATGTCAAAATAAGTTTTCTGAATTCTTCTGTTCATCATTCCCTGAGATTCTCATTCAAACTTTATCTATGGCAGAGATGAGAAAAAGAGAGATAGAGAACGAATCAGATAAGGGGAAAGAGAGAGTGGGAGAGCGGTGTGTATGAGCTTACAGTCAAATCATGCTAAAGACACCATTTGACCACCAAAATTAAGCAGCATCAAGCCTGGTCAGTACTGAGATAGGACACCTCTTGAAAAACACCCTGTACAAGAGGGGTTCTCAACAGGGGTGAAATTCACCTCCAGGGGGTGAATTTGGGATTTTTAGGGGTGAATTGTGACCACAGTAAGTTTAGGGGGGGGGAGCAATTATAGAATTTGGTCTATCTGGCCTGTCGCCTTGAAAAGGAGGTGGGAAATGGCATTCTGACAAATGGTGAAAAGGGTGCATGAGGCAAGCAAGAGTGAGAACCCCTGTTGTACAATAAACAGTGGAAGAAATTATTTTATTATATCATTTAGGCATTAACACAATGCCTGCCAACCATGAGATAACTCATATTCAGTATCAGAATAAAAACTGCCAGCTACCATTTATTTCATGCTTGGTGTCTTCTGATATATTTTCATCTGCATTGTGGGTGCCAATAAGTTTATCTGCAGCAATACTGTTTAAATTTCAGTTAAAGCTATAAATAAACTCAAATTTTTTTTTTATTGTCTAAATTAGCCATTATAAAGTTGGCAGTCAACGCATTAATGTCCATACCCATGTTTTCCATACTCAAATTGTATGCAGCACAGGCAGTTTTCAATTAAGCAGTCATGTGGACAACATTAGGTTTCCGGACATTGGGTGGGTCGAGGTAGAAACACCTCATTCATCACTACCCGTTCGGTGGCTGTCCTAGTCCAGTGAGTGGGTAGCCATCTCATATAAAGAATGACTACGCACAGGTGATCATCAAACACCTGAGGATTGGCTAAGCATGAACTTGAGTTGCATGTTCTTTTACTATTATTGTAGCTTTGCATACCTGGCATAGTGTACTGTTGTCTAATTGATATTACATGATAATAACATGGTTGTTATCTATTAGAATCATATGTAGCATATGACATTCATTGATTGAACATTTTGTGCTACTGCCAGTTGAAATGTTTAAAATGTATGTTATATATATATATATATATATTTATATGAATGGTGTCTTCAATGTTAGGCCTCTACACATTTTGTACACAATCCTCAGGTGGCCAAATGTCCTCCATACCTTTAATTACACAGCTTTAAGAATATTTTAGAGTGTTGTTAAATTTAAAAATTTTGAAAAGTTAATATTTTTTTTACTTCTGTTTATGTTGTAACCTAGAAAATGTTACTGAATGACAAATAACCAAAATGGAGGTTGGAAATGAAATGGTAATCTTTATAACATCAATAAAACACAATACTTGCCAGCAGCGTGAAGTAGGTAAGCCACTGCTAGTGATGGACTACTTAGACAGCATATTACCCCCACTTACAATAGTGACCATCATATTTATGGGGATTGGGACATATCCATTAGTGTTCATAGCTATAGTATATAACAGTTTATAAATACTTGTTGCAAAATAAAATGCTTATATTTGCCTCAGGGGAAAAATATGTTGGTAAAGAAAAAATTTTCCTGTTGTCTTTATATATATATATATATATATGAAAGTTTTTCAGGAAATTTAAAGTTTTAAAGTCTACTGTTCTTTTTAGTAATGATGGATGTTTTCTTCCTTGTCTTTTGTTTTTAGTACTATAGAAAATTTACAGTTTATATCTTTATTTTCTCTTCTTGTTATAGATGTTAACAATTTTTGCTGTTGCTGGAAGTGCTCAAGTGATGTAGTTTTTGCAATTTGGCAGAGTTTCTTTGTGATTTTCCAGCCCACTTCTACAGGGTCTGAAGAGAACTGCTTTCTCATTTTCTAGCAGTAGATTCATTTTAAATATTTTATTCTTTCTTTCTAAATACATTTCTCGATTTCTTTCTTTTTCTATTTTTTAAACATGTTCAGCAAAAACTTTTTTCGTTTGTTAAAGAAAACGAACTTACAGAGTTATTTTTTTTTTCTTTTGTTCATTTCTAGTGCTGGAGTTTTCAAGTGTCCAGAAGACGACAAACCACTGGACTATGGCAAAGTAAGTAAAAATTTACTTATCTTTCTTAAGAACCTCTGACAATGTTTAATCTTTGTGTCCCACAAAAGATAGTGTAGCATCCCGCTACCACTTCCTTATCAATGTCTAATTTTGTACATTTTTGTGCAAAAAAGTGGATCAGAGAGCCTGCTCAGCTTAGTAAATATTTTCAGGAAATATCAGCTTCTAATTGGTCAATAAACACACAAGTGGGCATTGCAATTCACCCATTTAACAATATTTTTCCAGTGCATGACCAAGTCAAGTTTCCTGCCAATTTGCTGTGATCCTGTCATGTGATTACATTATCTATAAATAGCAGACACGAGTTCACTCATTCTCTTTTACTCTTCCAAATTCCTGCGAAGATGTGATCTTAAGGGTTCTCGTCTAGACCATGCGTGGTCAGATTTTAAAAGCATATTCACGCATGCACGTACATACAAACTTTCCCAACCTACATTACAAACATACAGAACATTTCAAAACATGCAACAAGAACTTTTCTCTTTGAAATATTCTTCTAAAACTAGTTTATTCAGCATTTCTCAGCTTTATAATTAATTCAACTTTTGTGAGTTCAGATAAAAATATTCCCAGTCTAAGAGACATAACTCCAACAGATCTCTAACAACTACGCTTATGCATCAACACACAAATACAAACGTTAGGTTTTAAAAACCATTTTGTTCCTTTCTTGTATTTCATGTTATGTGGTATTTTATGTTTTATATAAATAGTGTGGTCATGTTATACACGCAACCATAAAGACATACACAATTGTCCATTCTTATTACCAAACCACTACATATGGTAACCCCAACGTTTGACATGGGGTAAGAGAAACAACTAGACCACTACAACAGTGTGCAAAAAGGACAGTTTTTTTTGTGTTTTTTTCAGGCGAAAAGGTTAAACATTGCCAAACCTCTTTATGACTTCCAGCCTTTTGTATTCTGATGTGATAACTATCCTATGAAAAATTAACTATAATAATCCAAGAAACGTTGTCATGAAATCAACTGACCTAATTGCTTTGGTCTTCATGTAATGGTTAATGAGGCTATTCTAGTTGACAATTGCTAGTGAGTTTGATCCTCACTAGGTGGCACACCCAAAATTTAACATTAAATAACCTGACAATAGTTTACATGTCAACCAACCTAATCTATTCAACAAGTTATTTTTGACTTTATCACAAAATGTTGTCTGCAAGTCCAAACATCTTGAGTAATGATAATGGTTCTTCTTAGAATTATAGGCAATATTTTTATTTTCTTACATACCAAAGTTCACTGAATACAAGCTTCAAGAGCCACTCAAAGTAGAAGATTACTGAATGATGTGAGTGATATGAAGCTTAGAGGAGGTGGTCAGTGATGATTTAGACCTTCATTTGAAGAGGTTAAAATTGTAGTGTTCAGGGGAGAATCCATGTGGGCATCTGTTCCACAAAATAGCAGTTCTTGAGAAAAACCAAAATGGAATTTTCTTGAGAAAAACCAAAGTGGAATTTTTAGGTAGTTTGCTTTTTAAGCCCTGCGCTAAGTATCAAATAAAAATTTCCTGAATAGTTATATTTAGGTGTAAATTTACATGCTTAATTTGAAAATAAAGAAATTTTGATAAAATCTACCGTTTTGGAGTGATCAACAATAAAAGTTCAGACTCATTCACGTCATTGGCTTCTATGGCATAGCAGCTATTACTGGCGTTGTTTGCATACATTCGCTGCTGAATAGACATGTGCAGATTACCTTGTTAATGGCCTTTTTACTGATCTTACTTGCATCAATTACTGTGCAAATGTGTACTCATTACATGCACAATAATCAAGACAAGTGAATTTTTATTCCGCAGCAAATATATGCAAACAACACCAGTAATGGCAGTCACAATGTGAATGAGTCCGAACTTTTATTGTTGATAAGTCCAAAATGGTAGATTTTATCAAAATTTCTTTATTTTACACCTACATATAACTGTTAGGGAAAATTTTTATTAGATAATTAGTGCAGGGCTTAAAAAGTAAATAACCAGAATTTTCTTGAGAAAAAAAACCAAAGTGGAATTTTCTTACAATTGGAATATAGTACAAATTAGTTTTTGTTATATTTTTTTAACTCTTGAGAAGGGGCATGGTGTCTTAGATGTAAAGATTGATAGATTTGTTTTTCATGGTTTATCAACCTTTTGCAAGTTATCCTAATATAAAAAATATTTTTAGATTTTAAGAATTTCTTTTGGAGATAATGATTTACTGCTACACATTTTACTAATTAACCAATAGCATTTGGGGAGAAGGAGTGTCTTCATACTATTCTGAAGACTATTTGTGCATAAGAGAATATAATGAACCCAACTGGAATTGAAACCTGGCTCTCTGATTTTCCATTTCCGAGTCATTATCCATTACACCACTTGCACATTCAAACTTGAAGCAAGTGGTGTAATGGGTAATGGCTCGGAATTGTTAATTGGAGAGCCATGTTCCAATTCCAGTTGGGTTCATTATATTCATTTATGCACAAATATCCTTTAGAAAGGTATGAATCTACTTCTTCTTCCCCTCGGCTATTGGTCAATTTGTAAGACTTGTATCACTCCATCATTATTATCTCCAAAAAAAAAAAAAAAAAAAAAAAAAAATCATCTTAAAATATTTTCAGGCTTTAAATAACATGCAAAAGATTGACAATAATTGATTTGTTTTCTACAGCTTAAGAAATTAAAAAAATCCTCTTGGGCAATAGCTACCCTTGGGAAAGAACTAGGGTCATTACCTGGCATCCTGAAAAAGGAAATGTCGAAGGAATTTCAGCAATTTCTGTCCTTAGTCTATATACATGTAGTCACCCACTTTAAATTTGAACTTGTGTCACATTGTGTTCAAGTCGACGTGAGGATAAATATTATTACCTGTACGAGAGCTGGAAGTATGATCTCTTCTCCAGGCTGATAATAGTTTGATATATCAACCTTTTCTTCTTGTTTGATCTCTTAGATATTGCTTATACTTTTAAATGGTACATATATACACAAAATTCAACTTGTCATCTTTGTTTTGTAGATTTTTCCTGATAACGATTTGTACAAAGAGATCACATCTAGCATTGTGCGCTGCAAGCATTATAAAGAAGGCTGTAAATGGGTCGATCCACTCTCAAGCTTACAGGTGAGTAAATGTTTTTTTATTTTCTTTATTGTTGAGGACCACAAAGATTCAAATATATTCTGGATTCTTTTGGCATTCTTGAATACAGGTGAGCAAGCTCAGACATCAATTCCCCACACATATCATGTGAAAGTTGAAGATATTTTCAGCCTTTTGAGATTTTTTTGGCAAACATGGACCTTCATGCCTGCAAAAAATTGGAGTATCAAAAAGATGTTTTTTCCTTGACACTGCTATTATTTTAACTACCTTCACTCCTAGGTTTGTTTTAAAAAGTGATGATTAGAATTGCAATAAAACCTAAACATATGATGAAAGTAAATTTATACATTTTTTCTGTTCTTGAGAATTTTCAGCAAAAATGTTAAATACTATTTATTTATTAGATTGTTTATTTACAAGAATAATCTTAGATTTACATTCTAAAAACTAATACAATTACGACTAATGCAATGCAGTATTTATCATTTACTGATTTATAAAGAAATAAATGTAAAAACAATTTTTATTCATAAATTTGTAAACATTTACTAAATTATTAAAATATGTGAACCAACTATAAGGAAATCCTTACTAATTATCATTTTATATAAAGTTTGAATCAGTTGGCAATGAGCCAATGTATTGTCAACCATTCCAATAAACAATCAAATAAATAGTGTTTATTATTTTTGTTATCAATTCTCAAGAACAAAGAAAATGTATAAATTCACTTTTATATGTTTAGGTTTTATTCCAGTTCTAATCATCACTTTTTAAAACACTTGATGAGTGACCGCTTAAAAATACCTGATGCTGTAATCTTGGATGTGCGGGTGGTGTAATAGATAATGGCTTGGAATTGTTAATTAGAGAGCTGAGTTCCAATTCCATTTGGGTTCGTTATATTCACTTACATGTAAATACTCTTGGGATAGGTATGAATCCACCTCTTTTCCCCCTAGCTATGAGTTAATGGTTTAAGTCTTACTGACTATTATCTCAAAAAAAACCAAAAAAAAACTTACAATCTAAAAAATATTTTCTAGCTTTAAATCACCTGAAATGGGTTAAACCACAGAAATGTGATAATACTTGTAATTAATTATAGGAATTCTGTAAATAAAATTGATTGAGTGTTTTGTTTTATTTTTTTATAGCTTATCAACCTTTCTCATGTTATTTAAAGCCAGAAAATATTTTTAGATTGTAAAAATGTTTTGGAGATAATAATGATTTACTGATACAAGTCCTCTACTATTTAACCCATAGCTGGGGAGAAGAAGAGGTGTATTCATACATTTCCCAAGAGTATTTGATAGCTTTTAACCAGTAAAAAAAAATAAATTTTACATTATTCTTTCTACTTTTCAAATTTGTCTGTTTTGTTTTTTTAGAGTCACTTGGATGTTTGCCGCTATGATGCAGTATCCTGTCCCAACAGTTGCTCAGCTCTCTTGTCCCGTATGTGTGTTCATGACCATCTCGAATACACCTGTCCACGAAGACGAGTTCTCTGTGAGTTTTGTGGTAATGAATTTTCAGGAGAGCAGATGGAGGTAACTAGTTATTTTTTTTTCCTTCTTGACACACCTACCTACATTTCTCAATATTTGTTACCTTTTAAAAGAAATTGTCTGAAAAAAATTGTTTTAGCCTTTTTTCAAAATTGGATACTTCAGTTCTGAGAGAACTAATGTTGCACGAAATTAATTTTGATATTTACTCAGTTTAACTGAGTAGGGAAGCGGCAGGTGAAGATTGAACTCATTACAAGACTAGTAAATTTGTTTTGCAGACTATTAATCACTACTTTATAGGTAGGACATGCTATGCTACTTACAGAGTTGAATCATCTTCATTTCCCCTATTTGAAATGTAAGAAGAAAATTCTGCTCAGACAACCACCCCCTGCCACTCAAGAACTGATACTTTATGAACAAAAATCCTGCATGTATGCTTTCCTGAACATTACAATCATAACTCCATATCTCAAAAACGATCTACAATCTGTTAACTGGGGCAAAGAATGGCTTGTTTAATGCCTCTAAAACTAAACTGGTCTCTGTTAATCATGAGGGATCTCTTTCTGACTTCCATCAGCATGGCTGTTGCTAACCTTCAGGAGAGTGACTTATTGCACCTTCTCAGGCTAACGTTCTCAACTGACATGAAGTAAAAAGACTATATTGAATCCATTGCTAGGTCAGCTGCTAAGAAAGTTGATTCACTAGACAGATTCTGGAGAGAAAAATGATCTTATATATCAATATGTCTACCATTTGCCCATGCTTTGAATATTGCTGCCACATATGGTCCAGTGTTCCTGCTATATATTTAGAGATTCTTGATAAAATCGAAAGGAGAATCAGCAATATTATTGGTCCTCATCTGGCATCTCGTCTTCAGCCACTTCCCTATCACCGTAATGTAGACTCCCTGCACCTTTTCTATAAATACATTCATGGTAATTGTTCAGATAAGCTCTTCACTATGGTACCTAGACATTATGAATTTAAGCGCAGTACTAAATTGGCAACTAGGTCTCATCAATTTACAGTTGAACTGGATCAATGTAACCATTCTATGCTGAGAGTTTCTTTTCTCACTTGTGGAATTCTCTTTTGGCTCCATGATTTCCGGTCAACTTTGAGAGTGCCTTTAAATTTTTGAGAATCAGTCATTATGTACTGTCGTCTTGATTACGCTTCTGTTGTTCTCACTCCTTCATAATGCATTCTATTTTCTAATTCTTTTTCACCCAATAACCCCTTGTGTCTTAGTGGCTTTACTGCCTTGCATGAGGTAAATTCGATAAAAACAAAAACAAAAGGGGGGCAGTTATTATCCATCCTCCTTATTCTCATAGCGTTTACTTCCTATCACCTGCTCCTTCATTCATATCACACACCTTATTCATCAATTTGGTAGTAACCCTAGTGGCTCACGAGCCTTCTATTGGATGAATTTGTATGCATAATATATAATTTAACAGTGATACTCTTAAGTTGATACTTATGAAGCTTAGTTTAGTATGGCATAAGGCCATAATTTTGAGCAGACAGTGAGTATTGAACTCCATTCAGTCATAATAGATAACCGTCCTATGAGATTATTTGTTCCTTCGTCTTAAATGAAAAAAGAAAAAAAAAAAGATAGCGTCAAGGGAGGTAAGTCTGTAAACTCTTAATTTCTTACCGTTCTTGTCTAAACCACTACAGGTCCCAAACCATTTATCCAGCTGCTAGAATTACTAGAAATCTGGTTAGTTTTGATTCTAGCAGGTGTTTTAATTCAATGTCAGACTTAAGAATATTTCTGCAAAAAATATTTCTACAAAATTAACATGGTAAAAGCTTAAAAAGTAATTCTATTTATTGTTGAAATAATTTCTGAAAAGTTCAAAAACATCTTATAATTATGTGACTGCTTTCAAGGGTTTAAAAATTAATTATTTTTCTCCCTTTTCTCCAACTTTGATTTTATTACTCCACTCAGGGTAGGAGTTGCCTAGACTGAGGAGGGTAATGTCTTATTTCAAATTTGGTCAAATTGTGTGCACAAACACTTGGAGGTCACTCACACACACACACACACACACACACACACACACATCAGTCATACACAAACAGTGTGATACAGAAAATCATTTTTTTTTTTTTTTTTTTTTAAATAATATAGATTGAAAATTTCTGTTCTTATTTTTAGCAGAGTCATTCAGGGAACTGTCTCTATGAGACAGTCTGGTGTGAAAACAAGTGTGGAGCCCGGCTTGAGAGACGCTATCTCTCCAATCACATGAAGAACGAGTGTCACAAGCGAACAGTTCAGTGTCAATTCTGCAAAAGAGAATTTGTGGAAGAAACACTTCAGGTATGTTAAAAATCATAAATATTGTCAAATTAGAACAAACAGTAATTACTGCATGCTCTGTGTATGCACAATGCCGAATCATATACTGGCTTGAAAAGCAGAATGATTCAGTGGCAAGTTGTGCCCAGTGATAATACCGAAACTCAGTCTCATCTGTCTATTTGTTTTGTTGCCAAAATAAATATAAATACAGGAAGCTATTTGAGAGGTTATGCAGAGTCAATATATATATATATATATATATATATATATATATATAATACAAATATAAAGCTTGTTATTTAGCTGATTGGTGTTACCTTTAGCATCCAGAGTTTCATAAGACAGACCCACCAGCACTCACTCCATCCACTCGTCAGTGGATATCATAAATTTACTGTTTATTATCTCATATATAATTCTAAATCTGTACCTGAAGATTGAGTTGTGCATGAAACTCAGTGTGGTGCTGGTGAGAAAGAAAAATGTATATTTATTTATAATAAAATATTCTATTTTTAATCAATTTAATCCCAAGCAAGGCAGTAAAGCTACAAGAGGTTATTGGGTGTGAAAGAATTAAGAACAGAAACCTTACTAATGAGTAGGAAGAGTAATAATGCAGACAGTAGATAGTGATTGACATTGCATTTAAGTTTCCACTAAATACTGCGCATATAAAATATATATATATATATATATAATTCACTTGAGGATGAAATAGAACTGGTTTTTTAGTTTCTATTTTTGAAACATGAGAACTCTTATGTAGTGAAGGATTCCTATTTTTTTAAAATAATTATAATTTAGGCTCTACTCATGTATCGGGCACTGTTTTTTAAAAATAAAAACAAAAATACTAAAGACCTTTGGATTACTAATTTAACGGGTCTTTCCTATTTTTTCTATATATTTACACACACACACACACACACATATATATATATATATATATTCCCAAGAGGATAGAATCTAGGTATAACTCAATGTCCAGGACAGAGTAAAAATATAATATAAAATGCTCAAACACTAATATTCCATAGTTATTATTTATTACATTGGAATCGTCATTGGAATTATTGTTTGAGCCTTTTATATTATATATATGCAATTTCTAAAGAAGTAATTATTTTATTAATTAGACAGATCTTTATCATTTTAAACATTATTTTTAGTGGATGCTATGTTTATTTTAAACAGTATATTATTTTATTTATTTTCGCCTACCAGCCTGGATATTTAAGAAATCTTATTAAAAAAAATATATACACCCTTCATCCTCTTTTGCAGAAGAAACTGTTGTTAGATTCAATGTGCTTTTAACCAACTCAGCCACAAAGAGTGTCGCCAAACAAGCAAGGTCGAATAGGGCCTTCAAGCTCAATCCTTCTTGAAAGTTCATATCTGCTCAGTTTCATATAGTTTCCTAGACAATTTCTAAAATAATTAATTTTTTATTCATTAATCTAACAGCTACTAAAGAATAACATTTAAAGTTTATTTTCATTTCCCAAGTATAAAAGAATTTGAAACAGCTATAGCACATTTCTCTCATACTTTAACATCACTACACAGAAGGTTATTCGTGAGTATGAACAGATTTTGTTAAAAATTAGCAGACATAATATCTGTAATTTATTCAATCAGATATGCCTAAAAGAGAATTTGTTGCCTAAATACACAAATATATACTATTTACATTATTCAGACTATTGTCCTCATCTTTGTTCGGACTATTGTCCTCATCTTTGTACAATGTAAATAGTGTACATAATAGTTATCTCAAAAATATAGACAGATACACAAGTATATATATATATATATATTTTAGGGAGACACGATGAAGCAATGGATAGTGATTTGGATTGAGGAATCGGAGAGCCGAGTTTGAATTTTAGTTAGATCCATTACATTCACTTACATGCTAATATCCGTGAGAAAAGTATGAATTCTCTTCTTCTCCCCAACCCCAGCTATGGGTAAATAGCAGGAAAGAGCAGGTTCTGTATCCTTGGCAACCAATTTAGGAGAAGGAAAAATTGAATTCAAAACTGGCCTGAAGAAGTTTGGGCTCCATCAGACTATCTTACCCAAGAAACACCACTTCTACTGCAGCTGCAGTACACAAGGTGCCCCTATGGGTTACAGTATTAATATATATATATATATATATATATATATATATATATATAAATATATATATATATATATATATAAACATAGAACATACTATGGAAAAGTTCCTGCAACTTAAAGTGTAAAATGGCACTCTCAAAGAAAGAAAACTGGTAGAGAATAAGGATTGATTTCTGGTGGAATGACTTCAAGATTTGTGAACTGTTTGAATCTATCTGTTCAGGTTCACCCCTTGTAAATAAAACATTTTTTTTTAATCTTCAGTTACCTCTATGGCTTAACAACAGAAAAAAAAACACACCTTTGTTACATCATTCATTTCTTCTCCTCCTCCTCCTCCTCCTCTTGACGCTTGGAGATTTCTCTGGTTCTTTCAGACTCACCACTACCAGTGTCCCAGATTTCCCATACAGTGCCCCAACAGATGTGATCCTGCTAAAATTCCACGAGAGGAGGTTGATGGTCACATCAAAGAACACTGTCCCTCAGTATCAGTCACATGTGCTTTTAAGGAGGCTGGATGTAAAGTCAAGGTAAGACATAAGAAAAGAAAAAAAAAATCATAATGATTTGCTTGTCAACACTTTGTCTATGTGAATAAAACTGTGGCAGAATCAATAGTGCCAAAGATGGACAAGAGACACAGCAGGCCTGGCCCAAATGCATTTGTAGTAAACTTAGAAATAATATCTGTGTGATATATTATTAGTACAGGCCAAAAGTTTGGTGCAACCCTCTAGATTTAATAATTAGTAAATTTCATGCCTTCTTTGATTTAAATAACACCTACTAGGATGCTGAAACTATTTAACCAATTTTTAAGAGTGGAGAGGGGTACCTAAAATTTAAAATCCGTCAGCTAAGATTATTATTAGGCACCAAACTAGATTCAGCAAAAAGTGCTAAATTTTAAGGAAACTTTATGCAGTAATGAGTTAATTCCACAATTATTATTAGTAGTAGTACTAAATATATAAAACCTTTCAGGAAGTGAAGGTTCCTTCGGTCCGAAGTGAACTAGTAAATTAGTTTTGAAAAAAGTATGAAAACTTCCATTTTTTTTTTTTTTTTTTTTTTTTTAGACGATTCTTTGAAATCCAGTGTGGCTCAAAAAGTGTGTGTGTCTGTGTGTACAATTTTCCTTAGAAATGTTGGGTAAGCAAAAAAAGCAAGAAGGAAAAGAGAGAGAGAGAAAGACAAAAAGAAAGAATAAAAGTGAGAGGGGGTAAGTAAAAGAACAAGAGGGGGAAGAAAGTATGAAGAAAAAATAAAAAGATGAGAGAGAAAGATAAGAGGGGGGGGAAAAAGAAAAAAGCAAGGGAGAAGGTATAAAGGCAAGATAAAGAGAATGAAAGAGCATAAAAACAAGAATAAAAGTGAAAAGATTAGTGAGAAAGAAACATAAGGAAGAGTGGATGAAAAGGAAAATGAATGAGAATAAAAACAAAAGAGAAGAGAGAGAAAAAAAGAGGGAATGAGAATCAGAAAAAAACTAAAAGCAAGATCAGAGAGAGAGGAAGAAGAAGAAATAGCTGAAGTCTCTCGTCAAATAATTTGTTTAAGAATTTTTATTCTCAACCTGAGATTTAGAGAATATATTTAGTGTTTTTGTCCTACTATCTTTTAGGTAACTTCATAATTCCATTTTCATCCCTGAAAGTTTTATCTTTTTCTGCAAATAACTGTTAAGTAACTTTTGCAATCTTACAGGAGACTGATCTTTTTTTTAAACAATCAGCAAAAATATTAACCCAACACACAAATACATATATTTTATCAATTCACCCCCAAGCAACGTGACAATGCCACTAAGATACAAGGTACTAATGGGAATGAAAGTGAATGAGAAGGAACCAAAAAACCAATCCTAAACATAAAACAAGGGATAAACCTTTATTCCTGTTCCCCAAAAAATCTGTGAGAAGGATGAACTGGATGATAGGTGAAACTATCTACTCATATATATATATATATATATATATATATATATATATACACACACACACAAGTTATGAATTAAAAATATAAGCAGATATTTTAATATATAGTGCTCAATATTAAAATAATATTAAAAATAGAGCATAATAATATTAAAATTTACTTAACTGTAAATATCAAATCCTTTTTATTTGTTGTATTCCCTAATCTGAAGTTTCTTGGTGCCAACTATTCTTCAGGGGTTCTGTATTTTAAATGGGTATATTTCAATTTTCTTTTTTATTTTGAAATATATTAATAGCTGGCCACTCGTATTTGAGGATACCCATCTACTAGGATGGCAAGCCAATCCTTATTGCAGACTCTTGCTCAGGCACATGTGTTTGTTCAACACCCATAGAGCCAACCTGTGGTTTATACTGCAACTATGCTGAACAGACCTTAGTTACAGTTTCTGGGAAAGAGTGTGTTATCTAGAATGATCAGCAATCTGAACAACACCAGCATACTCAAACCCTTGGTTATGATGACTTTGTGTTAGCACAGCAATTGACGGCCCAAGTGTTCTGTATACCCAATTTCACTCAATAAGGCTTGGGTCAATCAGTGGTATGGTTTTCAGGCAATTTCCAAAGATACAGCATTTGGGGATCGTCCCCCTCCAGACCGATAACATCAGGAAGTCTCCTTCCTGACAAATCAACCATGGTGAATTTAGAACCCAGATCTCATGGTCAGAAAGTAAATGTTTTAACCACTCAGTCACGCACCTACAAAATTGGAAATATACCCATTTAAATATAGAATCCCCCTGAAGAATAGTTGGCACCAAAAAACTTCAGATTAAGGGTTACAACAAATAAAAAGGCTTTGATATTTACAGTTAAGTAAATTTTAATATTATATATATAGGCAGCAAGTATCTAAACAAGTTTGATTAAAAAGTACTAACAAGGTGTGTTTGTTTAAGTTTTTATTTTTTTTTTTCTAATTTTCGGATAAGGTGTTGAATATTGTGCTCAAAGTTGTCGATAAACTGTCTGAAGTTTGTATTCGTTATTTTGTTAAAAAAAAAATAAAATAAATCACATTCTTTGTGCGACCTTGTTCCTAATAGCAGTTACACTGGACATAACTTCAAATCCTCAGCTTCTTAAAGAATACTAGGATGCAAACAAAGGAATTCTAACTACAGACACCACATTGGTTTTTAATGACAGCCAAAGTTGAAAGTACTTCAACAAAAATAACAAAATATAAATATGCATAATATTTAACACCCTTATCTAAAAATTGGAAAAAATGTATTAAAAAAATTAAACACAGACCATGTCAGTTTTATTTGATCAAACTTGTTTGGAGATATATATATATATATGTGTGTGTGTGTGTGTGAGAAAAAGAAATAACCTATATATATATATATATAAAATATATATATATATATATATATATATATGTGTGTGTGTGTGTGTGTGTGTGTGTGTGTGTGTGAAAAAGAAATAACCCAATATTTAAAAATATATATATATATATATATATATATATATATATATATATATATATTTATTAAAAATAGTACTGTATTTTCCAGCTTACAAGACTTTTTTTTTTCCTAAAAAATATCCTGAAAAATAAGTGTGCACCTTCCAAGACGAATGTAAGGCAATGCCCAAGCTCAGGTAAGCTTGGATGTTCACCTAATTGGCTTGATGTGGATTTGTATGTTGAGCAATCACACTGTAATGTTAGCTATCTATCTAATTCAGCTTTTTATATGATGTAACCTCAGTACAAGTATTTCCAAGACTATAAACCTTCCTGGAGCCAAGCCACAAGCTTAAACATGCTCCGTTTACTAGCAGCGGCAGAAGCCTTTCCACTCTTGACTAATATGTCATTGCCATACAAACAAAATCCAACAAGTGATTAATGTAAACAATACATGGCACCAGTATGTGAGGGACACATGGTGAGTGTGTTGTTGTATGAGAATGACTTTTTTTTTCTTAGAAATTTCTTTCCAATGTTAGGGTGTGTCTTCCAAGACATAGCATCTTTTAAGCCAGAAAATACAGTAATTCATCCTATTAAGTTCAACTTGTATTTCTTTCTAGATAATTCTTTTACTTACCTTTCAGTGTCAGAGATTTCACTTGGACAGCCACATGGATGAGAACCTTAAGCGACACCTGTCAATGGCTTGGGACTTGGTAAAACAGCAACAACAAGAAATTCGTCAACTTCGGAATGCTTTACATGCCAGCACCCAAGTAACAAATGGCAATTACATCTGGAGAATTTCCGACTACAAATCGAAATATCTTGAGTCTGCATACAAAGGTGCTAAGGAACTCACCTGCCAACCCTTCTACACGTCACGTCACGGCTACAAAGTGTCAGCCTCAGTGTTCCTAAACGGTTATGGAAACTCTGATAACAAATACCTTTCATTGTACTTCAAGATTTTGCCTGGTGAATATGATAACCTCCTCGAATGGCCATTTCGTTTACCTGTGACTTTCACTCTGTACGATCAGGCAGCAGACCAAGACAAACGAAGAAATATTGTTGAGAGGTTTATGCCTGACCCCACGCGCAAACAGTTTAAAAAACCTCATCCTGATATGGAGTCGCTGGGGTTTGGTTATCCCAAATTTGTCTCCCTTGAGACCCTAAAGACAAAGAATTATATTAAAGATGATATCTTATACATTGGGATCAAAGTGGATAATAAAAGCTTTATTGTACCTTAGCTGTTTTTACTGGGCTTCATTTTTTTCCAGCCAATCTGTGTATGTCAGACATCTACAATACTGAATGGTGTACATAATAAACAGTATGAGGATTTAAGGTACTTCATACCTACTATATTTGAGTTCAGTTTACAAGTCTTGGAGATTTTTTGCAGTATGAAAAGCAAATAAAAGATACTTTTTTTCGTTGCCCTACCCTTTATTGTAAAACCACTTTAATAAAGTGGTAACATTATCCTAACCCGTTACGTATGGTTGCATGAGAAAGAGATCTGGACTATTTAAATAAACAAAATCAACTTTTTACCCACTTCTATGATCTCTCGTTCATATTTTTTTCTTTTTTTCTAAGTGGCAATATATTGTAACTTTTTTTAAAATTTTAAGACTGTCATTAACAAAACAGACTTAGAAAAAAATTAATTTTTTTTTATATATTTCATTCTAAATCGTTGTTGTTTTTGTTTGGTGGCATTTCAACCTATTTCGGTTGTTTAATGCTGAAATCTAAATATGACAATTCAAACTTTATAATTAATTCAAAAGAATTAATTACATTATTTCATGATTAAATTATAATTACTTATCAACAATTTTTATTGATTTTTTTTTTTTTTTTTAACAAAATAATCTTATAAAATCAAATGTGGAGTGAAAACTTGTTTCTCCTTACAATCACTTTAAAAATTCTGAAACATACTTTTCCTGAATGTATGGGCAAAAGTTTTCAGTTTTTTTTTTTTTTTTGATTATTCAGTTAATAGTGTGGAGGGAAAAAAAAAAAAGGTGGGTGTGGTAGTGCTGGGAACTTTTGCACATTCTTAATATATTAAATATAAATATACACATTTCAAGTTTGTGTATTACGCAAAGAAAAAAAAAAAAATCAACAAAAAGTTCAAGACTGAAATATCTAAAAAAAAAAAAAAAAAATCAAATCCAAAAAAGTACTCTTTGTACATCATATTTATTTATTTATCTTGTAAAAAAAAAACAAAAAACAAACTCAACATTGAAACACCTATTAAATCCAATACATGTCATTCTTGATGGATTGTTTTGTCTTTTTTTCTTTTTTTGTTTTGTTTTTTTACAGTTTATCAACCCTTTGTATGTTATTTAAAGCAGGAAAATATTTTTAGATTGTAAGAATTTTTTTGAGATAATAATGGTTTAGTAATACAAGTCTTACTAATTAACCCATAACAAGGGGGAAGAGATGGATTCATACCCTTTCCCAAGGGTAAGTGAATATAGTGAACCCAACAGGAATTGGGACTCAACTCAGATTAACAACTCCAAGCCATTATCCATTACACCACTTGTACATCCAAGCTTACAGCACCTGGAATTCTCAAGCAGTCACCAATCTAGGTATTGAGCAAGCTTGACATTGCTTAACTTTGATAATCATACCTGATATTGCCTTAAACCACAAGGCATTCTTGTTCATTCAAAATAAATGTTTTGTTTCATAGAGAGATTATTATTTATATGACAACTTTATATATATATATATATATATATATATATAGTGTGAGTTTTTAAACAGTGACTTACTGCTACTAATGCAATACTCTTCGATATAAACTGAATCATGTTCTCTCAGTCACTGACGTGTTTATCTAAAAATAAATACGCTTAAATTCACCTTCAGCCTTGCCGTGCACCAATGGCTTAGGGGTATATTCTCCGACTGGTACCAATTGAGCCAGGTTTCAATCCTAGCTAGAGGCAACTAGATGTCTAGCCACTGATGAGCTGTGAAACAGTCTCTCTGTGGATGACATGCACACACATATATCACCATTTGGTTTGGAGAAAAAGTGGTTGTGCTGAAACATTTAGGTATTACAATTATTACTTTTTTTTTTTAAGTAAAATATTGGTTAAATTTAAGTGATGTTTAAGTTTACATTTTAGAAAATTAAAAAAAATTATGCTAAGTTGATATTTCATTTATATTTAGAAATTAGGTAGTTTCTAGAACTGAACAGTCTTTTTCTCTTAAAACTTGGGCATAAATAGGTTTTACTTTAAATAACCTTCACAAAGAGATGGATTCACCTCCCCTATTTAATTGGGTTTAACTTTAAAATGTATAATTTTAGGAAATTTTTATAATGAGGCCTTGCTATATCAATTACATATATCTTTGTAAAATTTCATAAAAATGTCTTTGGAAATATTAATGCTTTCGATTCAAGAGTTGTTTCCCTTGTTAAACTTTGCTTCATCTCCTCTTCCAAAATTTTTATCCATATTTAATCTTTTGGGATATTTTTGTATTGCCTCATCTTTAAGAAACCTTTCAAGTATTTTTTTTTTTTTTCATTTTTTAAACAGTGAGTTTCATTAAGTCATCATCTAATTCAGAAGGGTTAATGTGAATTGCAATTAAATTTTACAAATACTTGAAATGTCATCTTGCATCATGGAGAGACTAAAATTTGTTGCTAATTTCTTTTTCAATTCTGTAAGCAGAATATTACTTAGATTGAAGTTGTGGTCTAAATTATTTATACATATAACTTGTGAATTTGATAGATTGTCATGGAGGTGACCCTGATGTTAATTTGAACCACAACTTCAATTTCAAGAATGCCACACTTATTAAAAGGGAAAATAATTTACGGAGACAGAAAGTTCTTGAGAGTACAGTTATCGATTCTTGTTAAAATATTAACTTATGCCCTATATATATATATATATATATATACACATACACAAACACACACAAGTACACAGTGAATGCCAGTGACAGTAAAACAATGTAAAATAACAGTGCTAAAATTTATACTAACAAATATACATTTGTTCTTCACCATTTGCCATATGCATGAAATTCAAGGTGTACCAATCATCAGGTACAAATTTAATATTAATATCTATAACCGACATGAAGATCACTCCATGCATGAAACTCAGAGTTGTACCAAAGGGTGAGAAACAAATCTACATTTATTATTAGTAAATATATTAGAGTGTACACCTTATATTTTATATCATAAAGAAACAATTTATACAAAGAATTAAATGGCAATGTTAATGTGATTAGTGGCGAAATCACTTCACTAACAAGACTTAATGAGACATTAACTTACTATCAATTCCTTGAATAATAAGATCCTTATATTCGAGTTGCTGTCAGATGGAAGACACATGCCAAGTACTTTTGACAATTTTAAATTGTCATCTTCAGGGTGCAATTTTCTTGTATATAGGCAAATACTAAGACGAAATATGTGCAGACTGAAAGATCTTTTTTTTTTAAAATATGTTATTTATTGACAGTTGAACATATGCTTTGAAGCATGTGATGTTGCAATGCTAGAGTACTTGTTCAAATTGATGATGTGACAATTTTGTTTGAATCTACACATATGATTTCACCATTAATCACATTAACATATTTAATTCTTTGTATAAAATGTTTCTTTATGATATAAAATATTCATTATTAGTATAGATTTCTCGTGTGCAGTGTGGACCGATAAACATAATATACAAATATGTGAAAAATAAAAGTGAAGCATGTACTTCAAATATGAAGTGTTCACTATAGTAACAATTGAAGTAATAAAAAAATCAGATTAAAAATAAATCCATTAATTCTTTAGAACTTGATTCATACCTGTCACCTTTCTGATCCCAGTTCCATTAAACAACATGTCTTAGAAAAACAGAGTCATGTACATAATATTAGACAGATATTAGTTGATAACACAATAATACTCATTATACACACAGTAAAAAAGAACCTTAAGATATTGGAGGCCATCTACATTAAAACAAAGCAACCCACACTCAACAAAATTACATTTCAAACCATTCACAACATATCACAATGCATTTAAACATATGATTCTGTTGATAACATTTCTTTCTCTCATGTGGTCATGTACATCATCATAGAACCACATTACGAATTTATGACCTGCATCTCCTATTCCGTGACTTATTGTCACATAACAAACTTCTATGTAAACATAACAAGATATCATCTTTGATGGTGAACATATCTTTCATAATGTCCATATAACCACTCTGATGATGGCTCATGTGAGCCGAAAGCTTAGATCAAGAACCAGCCTAATAAAAAAATATCCAAATGTTTTTTTATCCCAAAACTATGCAAAGTTTAGAACAACTCATGATCAAACATAATAGACATTCGTTTTCTGTTATATTTAACGATATATGTTTGAATAATGATCTGCTGCCCCAATAGTTTTCATCTCGTGTATAAATTAGTCTTGGTAACATAAAGAGAATTCTGAACTAAACCCTTTATTTAATCTATGGGGGAAGACAGTTCTTGTTCCACTGCCCATATCTCGCGATATCTCATCTAGTTCTTATTTTTAGTACTGTTCAGTTCTTGCTCGCCTTGTTCCCATTGAGTCCAAATATACACTGCCTGGCCCAGGGATTAGAATTACAATCAATGTCACCAAATTCATGAACCAACACTTTAATCCCCCAGGTTATTGTCAATATTGACAATTTTTCATGGAGTCATAAATCTACCTTGCCTACTGATGAGTGCTGCTTGACTGCACATACTGAAGTTTGTCTCTTATTACATCTGATATATATATATATATATATATATATATATCTCTCAATGTGTATGCATATTTTTTGTGTGCGAGCATAAAACATTTACATGTGAACTGCTACTAATTTTAGGCAGAGGACCAGTGTATAAAACTTTGATCCTTGGTAGAAAAGCTAATGTTGCCATTTCTGAGAGGAACTATGCTAAAACAACTCTTACCACCTTTTCTGTGGCACTACATTTCCCAAGGAATCAAGATTCCTTGGGAAATGTAGGGCTGCAAAAACACCACTCCAATGAACATGGTTCTGGACAATCCTCTTCTGTCATGCCAGCTGCCTTCACCTCTGTGCCAAGTCTGCTTGGATCAACACACTTTACACTTCCCTTGTGGATTCCAGTCAAGGGCCTGCCTGGTGACACTAGAAGCAGGCTTGCG